AAAAAAAAAAAAAAAAAAGAAAATGAAACTTGCAACAACAACAATAGAAAAAGGCCAAGATCAATTGTAACAGCAGCATAGGAACAGAGTTAATATATCCAACAAAAAACAATTCCATAAGCAGGCCCAGGGTTGTTTTTTATTTGTGTTTTTTTTTAATTGTATTTCTCATCAGTAAAAAAGGGATAGACAAGCTGGGCACCGGTTGCTCATACTTATCATCTTAGCTATTCAGGAGGCTGAGAACTGAGGACTGCAGTTCAAAGCTAGCCCAGGCACAAAAGTCTGTGAAACTCTTTCTCCACCAACCTACCAAATAAGCCAGAAATAGAGCAGTGGCTCAAGTGGTATAGCACTAGCACCAAGCAAAAGAAACTCAGAGACATAGGCCAGGTCCTGAATTCAAGCCCCAGCATTGGCAAACACAAAAAATGAATGGAGCCAGGCACCAGTGGCTCATGTCTTTAATCCTAGCTACTCAGGAGGCTGAGATCTGAGGATCATGGTTCAAAGCCAGCCTGGGCAGGAAAGACCATAAGACTCTTATCTCCAATAAACCACCAGAAAACTGGAAGTGGCTCTGTGGCTCAATGTGGTAGAGTGCTCACTTTGAGCTAAACACCTCAGGGACAGTGCCCAGGCCCAGAGTTCAAGTCCCAGGACCGACAAAAAAAAAGAATGGATAGTTGACTAAATGAGATATGGATAACAACTGATTAACTTTTGGGAAAATATAAAACCCCTACTACATGACATGCTATGAAATAACTTCAAGCATGATAATATTATTTAAGTACAAAAAATCAAAACCAGGCTGGGAATGTGGCTTAATGGTAGAGTGTTTACCTAGCATGCATGAAGCCCTGGGTTCAATTCCTCAGGACCACATACACAGAAAAGGCCGGAAGTGGTGTTATGGCTCAAGCTATACAGTGCTAGCCTTGAGCAAAAGAAGCTCAGACAGTGCCCAGGCCCTGAACTAAAAAGCCCAGGACTGGGGGGGAGGGGGGAGAGACTAAAACACAACATTATTTCCTATTCAGCTAGTAAACACCGGTAACTGAAGACACTGTAAGCCTCATATGGTAGAGGCCACTGTTCACTTCTTTCTAGTATGTCTAGCACACTAAAGAAGCTCAAATAATGTGCAGAATGAATAACTACCCTATGGTGATCATAAGAATTCAGAGAAATAAACACACTTACACTACCTGAGGTAGAGAAATTGGTATGCTCTTTATAAAAAGTGATTTTAAGCCAGTACCAGTGGCTCATGCTTATAATCCTAGCTACTCAGGAGGCTGAGATCTGAGGGTCGTAGTTCAAAGCCAACCTAGGCAGGAAAGTCCTTGACTCTTAGCTCGAATAAATACCACCAGAAAACCAGAAGTGGTGCTGTGGCTCAAGTGGTAGAGATAAGGGACATTGCCCAGGCCCAGAGTTCAAGCCACACAACCGACAAAACAACGAACAATTAAAAAAACATGTATCAGAAGCCCTTGGGCTGGGAAGGTGGCTCAGTGGTAAAGCGCTTGCCTTGCATGCATGAGGCCCTGGGTTGGATTCCTCAGCACCACATAAGCAAAAAAGAAAAAACCCGGAAGTGGCACTGTGGCTCAAGTGGTAGAGTGCTAGCCTTGAGGTGAAGAGCTGAGGGACAGCGCCTAGGCCCAGAGTTCAGGCCCCACGACTGGACAAAAAAATAAGATAAAATATAAATAAAGCTTAGACTCACTCTCAATAACAGGAGCACTGCGGTCATTACTGTTGGTCACTTTCTTCAGTTTGGTCCCTTTGCAAATGTCTTGTAAGAGGGCACCTCGGTTCCGCTGCTCATCCCTACTCAGCTTGGGCTGTTCTGTGTTTGCCTGGAGGAAGGAGGAAATGTTTAAGTTCACCGTAAGGAGTTACTTTCCTCACAAACTTTGGATAAAAAAATTAAAGCAAACTGTAACTTAATTGTAAATAGTGCTATGAATGTGTATGCCAAATCCTCTGGGTTTTTTGCTCCTGTTCTACCTTCTGTGAAAAGCACAGCTCTCCCTCCTATTCATGAGCCTCTGCTAATACTGATCGTCTATATGCTAAGCTTTGTGTGTTGGACACTCACTTGGTACATATCACCATTATCAAAGCAAACTATTATTGAGCCTCTGCTATGCTTCGGTTATGTGCTAAAGAAGCATATTTACATGACTTGTGTAACTCTTTTAGTATTTCTCTAAAAAAGGCATCACTGGGTAAGCTAGGTATGGTGGCTTAGACCTATAATCTAGCTACTTGAGAAGCTGAGAATAAATTCACAAACCCCTTTGGTGTGCACTTGTCATCCCAAGCAACTGAGATTGGAAGGATCAAAGCTCCAGATCAACAGGAGCAGAAAAGTCTGTGACACTCTATCTCAACAGAGAGAAGCTAAACATGGTGGTACTGCCTATGATCCCAGTAACTAAAAGTAGGTGAATCACAACCCAGACACAAGATTGAGTGAGAAGTGAGACCCTATCCTAAAAAAATCTAGAGAAAAACAGGACTGAAGATGTGGCTCAGAGATACTGCACTGCACTAGCCTAGCATGCAAAAGCTCTGTGTTCAAACCCTAAAACTGTCAATTAAAAAAAAAAGTCCTTACTCTCATTTGGAAGGTGTGAACCAGAAGAACCCAATATTAATAGTGATTTTTTTTTTTTTGCAAGTCCTGGGCTTTAACTCAAGACCTGGGCACTGTCCCTGAGCTTCTTTTGCTCCAAGTTAGCACTTTACCACTTGAACCACAGCACCACTTCCAGTTTTTTCTATTCATGTGGTACTGAGAAATCAAACCCAGGGCTTAATGCACGCTAGGCAAGCACTCTACCAGTAAGCCACATTCCCAGCCCCTTCAATAGTGATTCTAAAACGTGTGTGTGTGTGCGTGTGCACACACACGCACACTAGTACTAGAGTTTGAATTTAGGGCTTAGGGCCTGCTCAGCATGTTTGCCAACTGGCACTCTACCTCTTAAGCTACACCTCCTACCCATTTTTTGCTATTTTGGATATGGAGTTTTATGGACTTTTATGCCTAAGTTGGATTTAAATTGTGATCCTCCAGATCTTAGCCTCCTGAGTTGCTATTATTACAAGTATCATCTAATACTCCAATCTTATCTAACATACCCTGCTCTGTCCCTATTATTTCTATCTATCCTCTACATGTTATAAAATAGATTGATATTATTCTTATTCCAAAAATAAGGAAATGAAGGTTTAAGAAGGTTAATGTTACAGGGTCATAAACACAGAGATTTAAATACTGGTGTGATTGCCTCAAAGTCGCCTGTATTTTCTTTTCTTTTTTTTGGGGGGGGTGGTGGTTCCAGTTGTGGGGCCTGAACTCTGGGCCTGGGTGCTATCCTTCAGCTCTTCAGTTCAAGGCTAGCATCTTACAACTTGAGCTACAGCACCACTTCTAGCTTTTTCTGCTTAGTGGTGCTGAGGAATTGAACCCAGGGCGGCCTTATGCATGCAAGGCAAGCACTCTATCACTGAGCCACCTTCCCAGCCCCGTCACCTGTATTTTCTACTCTCCTGGCCATCCCTTTCATAAGCCATGTCTCTTTTCAGGTCTTTCATATTCCCCTTAAATGTCTTTCCCAGAGTTCTGAGCCTCAGCCTCCCTCCAAATGTTTCTGAGTAAACCCCATCAGTCTGAGAATGTACATACCACAAATAAGCCTCAAAACCTAAATCTTTTTTTTTTTCATCAGTCATGGGGCTTGAACCCTGGGGCTTGGGCGCTGTCCCTGAGCTCTTCTGTTCAAGGAGCGGCACTCTACCACTTTGAACCACAGCGACACTTCTGGTTTTCTGGTGGTATTTATTGGAGATAAGAGTCTCACAAACTTTCCTGACCAGGCTGGCTTTGAACAGCAATCCTCAGATCTCAGCCTCCTAAGTAGCTAGGATTACAGATGTGTGCCACCGGCACTGGCCTCAGAAATTTTTATTTTGTCTACTTTTCTCACCTTAACTTAATTTCTATATGTGCCAACACTTACAGGACAGCTCCAAATTAATATCCTATATGTACCTACAATTCATCCTATCATATTCCAGAATAGGAAGACTAAAAATATCATGTATTTGTTAAATCTTATACAATTTACAAGTATAGAACCTTTTTTTTTTTTTTT